GGTAAGAAATGTACACATTATCCTGCCCATGCAATTGTAACCCCTCTGTACAGTATGTTCACAAATAAAATAAAATAAAATTTAAAAAAAAAAAAAGAGCTCAGGGACAGTACCCAGACCCTGAGTTCAAGCCAATGAATGACTATATATATATATATATATATATAATGTATATAATATATATATATCAATATATATATATATCAATATATATATATATATATTAAGAGCTGGAAATGGAGTTGTGCTTCAAGTGGTAAGGCATGGACTTTGGGCCAAAAAGCTCAGGGACAGCACTCAGACCAGTAGTTCAAGCCCAGTACCTGCATATACACAAAACAAATCAAGTTCCATTTAAGGAATTCAAACCTAACTTGGACTGCTTAGTGTACTATGGTTTTCCAGAACACTAGTTTCTACAAGTTTCCTGTCAAAATACAATTCACACTTTTTATCCTTCATGTATTAAATGCTATGTTTTTACCTGGTGACTTATTTTCCCTCAGCCTTTATGAAAGCCCCATTGCTAGAACCAGAGAGTGCTTAAGGCAGATCTTATTTTCACTTGAGATTGTGTATTTTGTTGATTCCACTGAGATTTCTCCACTCATAATTACACACAACATATTGCCTGTACCCTCACATTCTCTCTCTTCCTATTCATTTTTCGGATGTTTTCTTCACATCTCCATGGAGAAACACTGCAATATCCATGACTGTCACCTAAGGTTTGAACCTGTGCCTGCGTTCATCCTCCTGAAAAGTCCACAGGAAAATATGTGCACACAGTAGGTGCTTATTCAAACTACTAAGTACCCTAGTTCCAAATTCCAAATGGTATCCCTAACACAGACCCTCTGGAAAACTCTTTTCATCTAGATATTTAAGCTTGATGGTAGTTTATCACCTAAAAAAGCTGGGTGGCTTGCTATTCTTATCCCACAGTCATACCAGCCTATACAGTCAACGGCTAAGAAAGATTCAACATTTCTGTGATATTTTAAAATAAAAGGACATATATTTGGTCTCTGCTCTTGGTTCTTGACACAAGAGCTCCTAATTATCTGACACAGACTTCCTAATTCCCTTGGAATTTCCTAGATGACAGGAGAAACTTTGGCTCTAATAAGGTAACTTTGGTAGGTTGCTTCAGGACGAGGGCTGGATGCCAGAGGAATAAATCAACAATGACATATCCACATCGCAACCTCCTTCCTAACCTCCAAAGAGGAGAGAAAAGGCTGAAGGCCAGTTGACCAGCAATGGCCAAGAATTTAATCAATCACAACTACATAATAAGGCCTTCATAAAAACCCAAGCAAACAATTTAGAAAGTTACCGGGCTACTGAGCACATGGAGATACTGGGAAGGTGTGTGCCCAGCACACCATAGAATACATGGAAGCAGACACACAAGCTCTGCATGCCTTCTTGCATGCTTTGCCCTAACCATCTCTTTCACCTGCCTCTTCATCTGCATCCTTTCTAGTATCTTCTTAAAGTAATGGACAAATGTGTTCCCCTGAGTTTTGTGAGTCATCCTAGTAGAGTAATTGAACCGAAGGAGGAGGTTGTGAGAATCCAAGACATATTATAGCCAGTTGGTTGAGAATATAGGTAATAACCTCTTGCTTGCAAGCGACATCGGAAGTGAGCACAGTTTCATGAGACTGAATTCTCAACTTTTATAAGATCTGCTATTATCTCTAGGCAAGTGTTGTCATATGACATGAATTACAGGGTAGTTAGTTGGTGTCTAATAGATAATTGGCTGCTGGTAAGGAGAAGCTCCACACACATTCTGGTGAAGAGTGAGAGGTAAAGTGTATTGAGTTGCACTGAGGACAAGTGTAGCAAAAACATGATGTTTTATCCCATTGCAAACAGAGTTAAGAAAAAGCAAGCCAACTAGCTAGAGCAAGTACATTTGTCAGGTTTCCTAGAATAAAAACAAACTGGTATACACTGCACTACATACCTCCATCCCCTCCAAAGCACATCTGTTTCCATTCTCACTTTGCCTTACTAATAACCTCACAGTAAGAAAACAGAATTCAAAGAGATTCCCAGGAGAGAACAAAGTCACATCGTTAGTACTTTGATCTGGAAAATGAATTTGAAAGGAATAATTCCATGGTGGGATTCCTTATTTGGGGGAATCAAAAGAGAAGTGAAGCAACATGTGAGCTTCCCCTTGTCAGTGATTTATGGGAAAATTCCTATTTCCATTATTTAATTTCCCTCCAGTCTTTGAAGAGTCAGTTCAGGTCCTGCCTGCTTTAATGTCATCGACAACCACCACCAGCTGGAGTCTACATTTCTTAATATCCATCATTTCTCATCATTCTTTCCTAAAACTCAACAAATATTTGATTCATTATATTGGAGGGGTACTGTTAACAAGGCTGGAAAGATGTATGAAAATAATAGCCTAGAAAATAAATTAAAGATACAAATGCACTGTGGTACTCAAAAAGTTGAAAACAGAGTGCCTATAATCCCAGTTCACAGGTAGAGGCTGGAAGGGCTGCGGTTCAAGGCCAGTCTAGATGATAAAAAGTCTGGCATGATGGCACATGCTCATAATCCCAGCTGAGTGGAAGATATAAGGAGGAGATTGAGATCAGTTCCAAAACCAATCCCAAAATTAGTTCAACCCAAAAAGGGCTGGAGAAAGGGTTGAAGGATACAGCACCTGCTATACTCTTAGCCATGGTCCTAAATTCAAATCCCAGTACTGCCAAAAATGAACAAATACATGGAAGAGAGATAGGAATTAAAGCAATGAGTTAGAATAGCACCTATGTAACAAGAATAATTGAAACATGTTACACCGAGGAGCTTTATTTCACTTTAAATTCTAATCCAGAGGTCAGTAA